AAATCTGCTTGTAAAATAGCCATTAAACTGTCCAGTGTTTGTTCATTCCACTTGTCTGCAGCAGTAGACTCATCCTTCGCCATGATAAAATGACGTATCGTTATTTGATTGAATGTAGAGCAATACATTCTAAGTTCTTTGTCATCCGAATCAGTTCGTTGATGTATAGTGGTGAATTTGGCTCCCAAAATACCTTCGATTTCTTTGTGTATAACAGTGTCAATATCTTCCTCATTTTCCAGGTCCCACAAGTTGTGAACGAAAATTATTTCAGGTCTGTCCTTGATGTTCAATTTGCTACAATACTCCAACACTTCGTGTATGTATATTTGATCGGTCAACTGTAATCGGTTCAGTACAATTATAATGTAAGAACAGAGAGCCAGAACTATTTCTCGTAAAAGAGCCTCGATAGCTCTTTTATCATCTAGATCTTCTCTTTTTGTCGGTGTGTCAGTACCAGCGGTGTCAATAAAAACCAAGTTTTTGTAACTTATCCTTGGTCCTGCAATCGATATGCCTTCAGTAGATACTAGACGACCAGTGGGAAATTTGGTTCTGCACAGTTTGCTCAACAGGAAAGATTTACCACGGTTATATGAGCCAAGTATACCAACTATCAAACTGTCTTTGTATTGCTGAATGTTTTGTTCTTGTACCGATGCTGTCGATACATTATTTTGTGTAAATTTCCAGCCATCCTTTAGTAAATCATTGAGTTTTTCAATGTGAATAACAGTATCATATATTACATCGGGCAAAGAACCAGTATCTGAAGATGCAGATGCGTCAGAAGCGTCTGACTCTGAACGTCCACGGATCATATTCCAAACCTGTTGCATAACTAGGAGCAGTAATGTACTTCTCAAAGAATTATGTGTGCTAAAATGACTTTCACGTTCTGTTAATAAGCTTTTCTCGAGTTAATTTTTTTGTTTTTATCTAATGTCAATACAAAAGAAGTCAAATACTGTTTTTCTCTCGCTGGAGAAAAGCTAGATTTTAGATGAAACAAATATATAACTGAAGAAAAAAAAGTGTTTCCCTTCTCGTTAAAACGAAGACTCTGCGTTATTAAGAGATACCGTAAGACATACGGTGTCCTTTCTCATAAAAGAAAGAAATGTTGGAATAATAAAAACAACTGAAGACAAAGAATATTGGCAGCAACATTCACAGTGGACCTTTTACTAATTTCTGTGAGCTCGATTATCGTTATAAGATTATCAGTTAATAACTTTTATGGCTCTCACCTATCCTCAAGTTTCTGCTTTATAGTAATTTATTTCTTTAAACGATAGTCTTGTTACTCAAAAGTCGCAATATAAGCATGATAAACAACATCAAATAATGAAAAGTCTAATTCACGAAACAACAACCGACACCACATGTCGCTTGCGGCACGATCGAAATGTTTTGACCAATACGGGAACTACTATTTGCAAAATACTTGCCACACCACCATAAATACCGATAATGGATGCTAGTACAACGATCCAATCGTTCCTCCCGATATAAGTATATGTGCACATCTCAGGATAACATTGTTCATAATATTTTTTGTGAGATACTATTTTTATCCATTGATCGACCATTAGCTCAGATATAATATCTTGGAGAGTCGTATTCGGACTATACTGAACTGATATGTTTCGATTAAGTGCCACAGTATCAAGAGTTTTAGATATATTGAGAGCTTGACGAAGTTCATTAATGCATAATTGATTGTAAAAGCAAACAAGATTTGATTGAAGAAGTGCCTCGACAATTAAACAACCGCTTAGAACGCCAGGCACAGTAAATAGTTTGGGTGGAAGTTGAATACCGGTCGAATTTATAGAATAAACATTTAATACTTCAACACATAAAGGTGTACGTTTACAGGAGCAACTTTCCTGTGATAGATGATTCATGATTTTTTTGAAACTGAATTCAAGAAAAATACCGTGGTCATCTGTAATATTCAGATTTATTAACACATTTGTACTGCGACTGGATGTTAGAGCGTTACTTTGAATAATATCGCGTATTATCTGCATTGCACGTGAAACACTATTTGTCATTGAAAGCATAAAGGAATCGATCAGATTTTGCGACTGCTGTTTGAACAAGTCCAAGGTCAACACATGGCTTGTAACGAAAGTCCGACTGTTGAAACGGATCAACTCCTCAGTGATAGTTGTGCGTGATAAATTACAGAAAAATCCTAATGCTTGAAACCAATTGACTCCCGATACGCGAAAATCATCTGGAGTAATAGAAACGTTTTCCGGTACGCTTTGGACCAAAAGCCAGAGCCAGTCAAATGTCACGTATATACTTTGACACACCTCGTGATATTTCGCGACTTTCAACTGCATGAATTTGTCATAACGATTTGAAATATGTGTACACGGACATGAAAGTGTTTGATGAAAGCGTCTATCCAATTCTAAATATTTTTCGTATGAAGGTTCTTTTGTATGAACTACTTTTAAAATGGATATTTGGGATGTATAGAAAAAGAATCCACATAACGACAGAGCAAGTAGAACGATGCAGACTCGTGTCGCAATTATATTGTTTCGAACTTCATGCGTACGACTCACGTTTAATTGCGATGTTGAATAAAACATAGTAAATGTTTGCATCCAGTGTTTTATATCATTCCACAGCCGGTGAATTCGCTCTAGCCGTGACAGAGCTGATACTAAAGAAAGGGGAATATTTGAACTAGTGTAAAAGAAACGAGAATCTTACCTTCATTGATCGTTTGCTCATGATTTGAAACTCTTTTTCGTAGTTTTATAACGATAAGAGGAATTATAAATTTAAGAATCATCGTTAGTCCACCGATCAATGCTATAAAACCAATAACAACATCAAAGAGACTGTTTTTAGTCTCATAAGAATAGACACATGACGAAGGTTTACATTGGTTATAAAAACTTTCATGAGATGCTGTATATGTCCAGTTATCGATCATCATGTGGCTCACAATGGTACTGATGAGAGATGTAGCATTAAATTTTATGTCCAACTCTGACCTGAGAATTGTTGAATTAAATTCCGTCGTCGGGCCAAGACTTTTATGTACATCAGTTAAGCATGTTTGATTATAATAGCAGTGCAGTGTTGACTGAAGTGCAGCCTCGCTTATATAGCAACCGGTGCGCAATCCAGGAATATCAAAAAGTGATCCGGTGAGTTCTAAAAGAGATACAGTACAAGCCGTTGTGAACTGACAAGAGCAATGTCGGCCACCATATCGATGAATTCCTTGAAATAATCTCAATGATTCATTCCTATGGCGTATGGTGAAACTCGACTCAGTCGATAAAATACTGTATAATCCATTGATATGCATGATCTGATTCACTACGGCTAGCGTTTGACTAAAAGTGTTCATCGTTGACATAGTGAAAAGATTAACCAATGATCGAACTTGTTCGTTGAAAAAGTCTACATGAAGAACTTTATTAGTAGTAAATTGTGTAGCACTAAATGTCGCACGGTCCGTAGTCAAACTTGAATTAGCTAAACGGCACCAAATTGCCACTAGACGAAAAAATGATTCTCCTGTAAACCTAGAATGGCGAACACGAGTTTGAGAAAGATATGCAAAGTAAGCATCTGTAACGAAATCACTCTCACACACTTGATGAAAACGGGCTGTAACATTTACGAATCGATCGTATTGTATACCAATATTTTCACATGAACATGTTAACAATTGTAGATGCTTTCTGTAAAGTTTGACGTATTCGTCATATATAGGCGATTGCACAGCAACTTGTTTTAAAACAGTCACTTGAGATATATAAATGCTATAGAAAATAAATGAGATAACCAGAGCAACAATATACACGCGAGTTGAAATGATTTCCGTTTGTTCTTGAAATTCATCAACTGGCTGCTCGGAGCTAAGCAAATTCAAGTTAAAAATTAATGCTCGGAGTGTTCTGCATAAATTACCAATGTAATCTCTCACCAAAGTACCTTCAATATATATGTATAAAATGATATCTGCATCATGTAATGTAGATGAAAAAGAACTTACGTGGTTGAGTGACTCTATGCTGTTCAGGAGGCTTAGGTCGACGAAACGAACGAATGAAATTCACGATATGATACACTGCGAATTTTAAAACGATTGAAATACTCTTGACAACACCAACGATAATCGTAATCAATGCAAACCAACTAGTTTTGCCAACATATGTATAAGTACATGTTTTTGGATAACATTGATTATAATAGTTCATGTGTGATGTTATGTTTGTTAATTTTTCGATCATGAGTTGAGAAACTATAGAGAAAAGAGTTGTAGTTGGCGTATATTGGCTCGATGTATTTGGATCGAGTGCTGTCACGTTCATAGTCAGAGATGAATTAAGAGCATATTGAACATAATTAATACAGGATTGGTTGTAAAGACAAGCAAGATTAGACTGCAAAAGTGCTTCGACAATAGAACAACCTGACAGAATACCTGATATATGGAATAATTGTTTACCATCAATGTAAGTCTTTTGGGTGCACAGCTTTGTAGTATAACATGAACAGTTTTCTGAATCAGATAAATATCTTTTCNCGTTCATAGTCAGAGATGAATTAAGAGCATATTGAACATAATTAATACAGGATTGGTTGTAAAGACAAGCAAGATTAGACTGCAAAAGTGCTTCGACAATAGAACAACCTGACAGAATACCTGATATATGGAATAATTGTTTACCATCAATGTAAGTCTTTTGGGTGCACAGCTTTGTAGTATAACATGAACAGTTTTCTGAATCAGATAAATATCTTTTCGATATAAGTTCTACATTATACTGTGATTCATTATTTACGATAGATTTCTCGACTACAAGTGCATGCATAGTTAACAAACCAGAAACAATTCCATTAGCATATGTAACATCTTGCACCAAGCTAATCGAACGAATAAATGACGTGGTTATGCCATATAAAAAAGATCGAAGTGCTTCATTACTTTCCTGTAAAAGTGCATCCGCTGATAAAAGTTTGCCAGTAATAAAGTGTTTACCGTTAAAATCGCTTAGACCAGTCGTTAGCATCATTTTAGCTAAATGACATAGATTAGCAAGAGCTTGAAACGAATGGGAAATTGTAGATGGAAAATGGGGCGATAGATTCTGTAAATGAATCGATGAATCGATATAGTTCTGCCAAGCTGATGTTACATACAAACTATCACATACTGGATGGAATGAAACATTGATACGAATGAATTGGTCATAGCGAACAGAAAGAGTCGAACATGGACATGATAATGTTTGATTGTAAACTTTATATAAACTTAAGTATTGATCATATGTAGGATGTTCAATGTTGATTGTGCTTGTTATAGTCACTTGAGACAGATAAAAGGTATAAATAGAAATAGACATAAGGACAAGAGTGATATATACACGAGTTGAGAGAATTTGTGTGTAAATATCATATGGATTTGTTGCTGGCTTTCGTGCAGAGTGACATAAGTTTAAATTGATGATGAATTGTTTGCATTGCTTGTATAATGCAAGAAGATATTGTCCGAACGGCGTTGACATGTCAGAGATAAAAATAATCGATTTTATTTTTGACTATTTTGACAAGAACGATGAGTGTTGAAAGTTAAATGTAAAAACAAGTTAGCATCTACGTCAGGGAAGTTTCTCTTACTTTCATTCATTTCTGAATAAAATAGTTTTCTCTGTGAGGAAATCGCATATGTTAAATATTGTATTAATATATATTCATAGTTGCATGGTAAAGTTAGCTATAATGCGTAGTCGTAATTAACTATTTCTTCGCAATTATTATTAAATCGCTGCACACGACTTTTTTAGCGAGTAAACTGCCTAGAATTGCATACAATACATAAATAAATGATGTCATACTGTCTCAAAATCTTTGAAGGCGCCTGACATCAACCAATAGAGACTATAATTGGTTTCGTATTACTATTTAGACAATAGATTTTAGAAATCATTGATTCTTTTCCGATCACATAGTTCATATCTTAAAGATCAACCGAGTCATAAAAAAAATTCCTTGTTAATTCTTACTGACTGAATGTAAAAATGCGCATGTGCATGCTCGTGTATTTTTAATGATAACGGCGTTATTGGTGGTATCCATATGCCAATATTATTTGTTCTCTCGGTAGAGAAATATAATCGTTTTTCAACTTTACGCACATGATGATAAAGACTTTTACGATCGTTTTCTGAACATACGTTAAATACAAAGAAGATTTTTTTTTGAAAATGTAGATGTCAACTGAGATCAAATATCGATTCGATGTTTATTTTAAAATTGTAAGCTAAAAGAGAAGATTTTCTAGTTTAGGTGTAGTATTTCGTAAGTCCATCAAACTATTTTCGATATGGACGTCGTGCGTCACCTTTTTCACCTCCCTTCTTATCGTTGCTTTTTCGCGTTTGTCCCTTTTCATGTTTTTCGTGTTCACTACTGCCACCTCTATTTTTCGCTCCACCGCGAGCTCTTTTTACTCGATATCTAAAAACACAATTCGATGTGCCACACAACTCATAAGAACTCTTTCCCATCGCATAGACTATAGAAACATCACTTACTGCGTAAAAGAAGAGTATTCATCCGATTCATCCTCCATACGTTCAGCAAGTTGTGGCTCCAACTGATCACCGACGGCAGAATTCACCAATCCTGCGGTGATGGAGAAACAAGTAAAATACAATCATCATATAGTTTGCATTTACCCTCCACTTCTCGTTCATCTTTTTGTTCAGCAAAATTAGCAATAATGAGTATTGTCAATATAAACATGAACAACAAATATCGCATTCTCACACTGATTAATATATGTATAAGTTGAAAATGGATGGAATTCGTATGGAGCAATCGATGAAATACCGTTTTATATTTTGTATAAAGTCGTAAAACACTATTGACTTTTCTTTAAAAAGTTAAAATGTGATATGTTCTTCCTTTATTTTATGAAGGCACAGAGTTTAAGTTTGACATTTATGTGTACTTTGCATCCGTTCGTTCTATTCCATGAATAAATACTTGTTAAGTGAGAAGAAATTACTCCGAACTAACACACACACATACACGTTAAAAAAAACTTTTTAATCAATTCTTTTATTACAGTTGATAAAAAAACTCTTATCCGGTAGAAACAAACTCTATTTGAAAGTAATTAAATATTCCGCATAGGCCTGAGCATCATGATAAACGACGAATATATGGTTACCATCTGTGGTGGAATCGAATCCTATTGGTCGACTTCTTATCGAACGATCCCCTTGAGTTGCTCTCCCTATTAACACACGAGCGACGAACATACAACGCTCTCCATTTAAGTTCGCTTCACAAAACCTACTACAATAGGCCGCATTAGATGAGAAATACAGACCAACACCATACGTTGCCCCTAATCAATAATAGAGATGCTTTAGAACAGGTTACAAATCAAGTCGCTTACCATGTGTTCCTGCAAAACTTCGATTAAAACAATCTTGTATAATTGAATCAGCTGCGGAATGAGAGCACCCATGATACAAGCGTCTTTCAGTATTTTCGTTCAATCGCTTGTTGAATTCTCGACTATGTGCAAAGTACTGTACAAACCATCGTACATTTTGGATTCGTTCAATTCGGAGAATCGAAGTATATCTTCCATTCATTGTTTGATCGAAATCATTGGCAATTGAGTTATACTCTTGAGTATTAAAAGGTACTAGACAACGTAAACTATTGTCAGCAGATTGTGTCCAATTTGAAGGTAATATACGGCTGATGGATGATCTCGAATCTGCACAAAGAGCATTAAAGAGAAAATGATTTTATATAGAAAAATTGTTCTATACCTTCATTCAAAGATACAACTTGTTTAGAAAATTCGTCATAAACGTTTTGTCGTCCAGGTAGAACAATAAATTTGACCGACAATGGAATATTTCTGATATTCAGTTGATGCTTTATCTCGTTGATTATTGTCTTAGCAACAAGATCAACAGAACATGCATGGTTTCCACAACCGATCGCCGGAAATGCCACAGACGTATACTTATAAGAAATAACATTTTGGATTACAGTCCAAACAAAATCAATGAGAGATTGCTGGAGAAGTTTTTCGTCTGAGTCTGGCTGCCACTTGACAAAGAATATTTGTTTGCAGGGTAGCCGACCAGGCTGAAGTGAAACTATCAACGCACTCGGATTCTTTTCGCACTGATCTCCATATGCCATCTGAACATCTGCACCTGCTGCGCTCATAATGCTTCTTCTTAAGATTCTCGATGAAGAGCTTCCAATAATTACATCGACCTTTTAAGAGAAAAGTATGTTTAGCATTGATGAAGGTAGACTGTGGGGTGCTTACGTTTTGTTGGGTGATATCCCCCATTTGAACTTCTATCATTCCTGTTCCAATGCCTAATGCCACAGATTCTGTCTGCGACGTTGATTGGAATAAATTTACTTGTTTTCGAAACTCATTGCAAACATCCGTTCGATCTGATTGTGTTACAACAGATACAGCCATGGGATACAACGTTAGTTGTTGAGAGATTGCTTCGACCATTGTTTGAGCGATTAGACTAATTGTACACCCATATCCACCGCAGCCGATAGCAGGAAATGCAATACTGCGTACGTTTTCACTGGCTGCTTTGCTCATAGCATCACAGATGAATGTACTAACCGATTGACGAAGTGTATCGGCATCGACAGAAGGTTTCCATGCCAGAAAATAAGCTTTTCTTGCGCAAACTTGGCCAGTAGCCGCTATACTAATGACGGGATCAGTCGAACTATTGTTTAATTCGTTGTTATATGAAAGCTTCATCAAATATCCACCGGCTTCGAGGACGCTTTCGCGTATAGTTCTTGATGATCGGCATACTACAATAACATCAGTCTACAAAGAATGACATGTTGCATACAACTTGTCCATGCGAAATATAGCCACTCACGTCCTCTGCAATCAAATCGCCTTGATGAATAGAAATCGATCCAGTCACAACTTCACCACGAGTCGTTTCCTGCAACAGGGAAATATAGGATATATATGGAGCGAATAGTCCATCAGAAAAGGATTTTAAGCTCACTGGTAACACGGTTGTGGTGACAGTAGTTTGCTGTACAGTATTCGAATCATGAAGACAGCCATTCGAAACTGTTACTCGAGATGAGCTCTCATTATTCAGATGTCCATAAGAAGGCACAATACCGTCCTCGTGGTTGAGTCGGGTTGTTGGTAAGTGAAAGATTGCTTCTGAGTACAATGTTGGATCATTTACGACGTTGGAAGTTGAATGACTAATGTGAATAGACAAACTATAAGAATGACAAGAATTTCGATTTTACACTCTGAAACTTACTCATTTATTGTATCTGCTTCTAAACGTCTGCGCTTAGAAAGGTTATCGTCAGCTAATAGAATGTCGGTTGGATAACTGCAACGTTTCATCGCCAACACAAATAATTCAAACAATATCTATCTGAAAGAATTTGAATATTACTGCAGGATTGCGTACCGGCGAAGTATATATCTAAACGTTTAATGTATACGAGTTTATTCGCAAACGAAAGAACAACACATGTGACAAAGAATCTTATCTATTTAACCCTTAAAAGCCGAACAGGGTTTTTGTGAAATAGAGAAAGAATTAATCACATAAATAGAGAGTTTAGACCCACAATATGCACAAACCGTGGTTGGAAGTGCTGGGTGGGGCTAAAAAATTTTTCCACCCAGATGACCTGGGTGAAGTATGATCGTTATAAATTTTTGCTTGGGTGATCCTGTTATATGGTTCAGGATCACTGTAAGTTCACGCTGATGAAATTTTAAGATATCTCTAATTATCTATAGANCGTTCATAGTCAGAGATGAATTAAGAGCATATTGAACATAATTAATACAGGATTGGTTGTAAAGACAAGCAAGATTAGACTGCAAAAGTGCTTCGACAATAGAACAACCTGACAGAATACCTGATATATGGAATAATTGTTTACCATCAATGTAAGTCTTTTGGGTGCACAGCTTTGTAGTATAACATGAACAGTTTTCTGAATCAGATAAATATCTTTTCCATATATGTTGTACTTTATACTGTGATTCATTATTTACGGTATATTTCTCGACTACAAGTGCATGCATAGTTAACAAACCAGAACCAATTCCATTAGCATATGTAACATCTTGCATCATGCTAATCGAACGAATAAATGACGTGGTTATGCCATATAAAAAAGATCGAAGTGCTTCATTACTTTCCTGTAAAAGTGCATCCGGTGATAAAAGTTTGCCAGTAATGAAGTGTTTACCGTTAAAATCAGTTAGACCAGTCATTAGCATCATTTTAGCTAAATTACATAGATTAGCAAGAGCTTGGAACGAATGGGAAATTGTAGATGGAGAATAGGGCGATGGATTTTGTAAATGAATCGATGAATCGATATAGTTCTGCCAAGCTAATGTTACATACAAACTATCACATACTGGATGGAATGAAACATTGATACGAATGAATTGGTCATAACGAACAGAAAGAGTCGAGCATGGACATGATAATGTTTGATAGTAAGTTTTATATAAACTTAAGTATTGATCATAGGTAGGGTGTTCAATGTTGATTGTGTTTGTTATGGTAATTTGAGACAGACAAAAGGTATAGATGAAAATAGATATAAGAAGAAGAGTTATATATACACGAGTCGAGAGAATTTTTGTGTACATATCATATGGATTTGTTGCTGGGTTTCGTGCAGAGTGATATAAGTTTAAATCGATGATGAATTGTTTGCATTGCTTGTATAATGCAAGAAGACATTGTCCGAACGGCATTGACATGTCAGAGACAAATGAAGATTTTATGAGAGGTAAAAACAACTAATTTTACTCTTGACTATTTTGACAAGAACGGCGAGTGTTGAAAGTTAAATGTAAAACAAGTTAGCATCTGCGCTAGGAAAATTTGTTTCACTGCCATTTATTTCTGGATAAAATAGTTTGCTTTGTGAGGAAATCGCATATGTCAAATGTTGGATTAATATATATTCCTAGTTGCATGGTAAAGTTAGCTATAATGCGTAGTCGTAACTAACTATTTCTTCGCAATTATCATTAAATCGCTGCACACGCGACTTTTTATCGAGTAAACTGCCTAGAATTGCATGCAATCCATAAATAAATGATGTCATATTGTTTCAAAATCTTTGAAGGCGTCTGACATCAACCATAGTAGAGACTATAATAGATTTCGTATTGCTATTTGGAGAACAGATTTTAGAAATCATTGATTCTTTTCTGATCACTCATTTCAACATAGTTCATGTCTTAAAGATCAACCAAGTCATAAAAAAATTCCTTCTTAATTCTTACTGACTGGATATAAAATGCGCATGTGCATGCTTGTGCATTTTTAACGATAACGGCGTTATCGGTGGTGTCCATATGCCAATATTAGTTGTTCTTTTGGCAGAGAAATATAATCGTTTTTAAACTTTACGCACATGACGATAAAGACTTTTACGATTGTTTTCTGAACATACGTTAAATACAAAGAAGATTTTTTTTGAAAATGTAGATGTCAACTGGGATGAAATATCGATTCGATGTTTAATTTAAAATTGTAAGCCAAAAGAGAAGATTTTCTAGTTTAGGTACAGTATTTCGTAAGTCCATCAAACTATTTTCGATATGGACGTCGTGCGTCACCTTTTTCACCTCCCTCCTTATCGTTGCCTTTTCGCGTTTGTTCCTTTTCATGTTTTTCCTGACTTGTGTTCACTACCACCATGACTTCTTTTTACTCGATACCTAAAAACACAATTCACTGTGCCACGCAATTCATAAGAACTCTTTCCCCTTGTATAGACTATAGAAACATCACTTACTGATGCGTAAAAGAAGAGTATTCATCCTCCATACGTTCAGCAAGTTGTGGCTCAAACTGATCACCGGCGGCAGAATTCACCGATCCTGCGGTGATAGAGAAACAAGTAGAATACAATCATCGTATAGTTTGCATTTACCTTCCACTTCTCGTTCATTCATTTATTCAGTAAAATTAGTAATAATGAGTATTGCCAATATAAACATGAACAACAAATATCGCATTCTCACACTAATTAATATATGTATAAGTTGAAAATGGATGGAATTCGTATGGAGCAATCGATGAAATACCGTTTTATATTTTACATAAAGTCGTAAAAAACTATTGATCTTTCTTTAAAAAGTTAAAATGTAATATTTTCTTCCTTTATTTTTTGAAGGCACAAAGTTGAAGTTTGACATTTATGTGCACTTTACATCCATTCGTTCTATTCCATGAATAAATACTTGTTAAGTGAGAAGAAATTACTCTGAACTGACACACACATACACGTTAAAAAAGCTTTTTAATCAATTCTTTGATTACAATTGATAAAAGAACTCTTATCCGGTAGAAACGAACTCTATTTGAAAGTTATTAAATATTCCGCATAGGCCTGAGCATCATGATAAACGACGAATATATGGTTACCATCTGTGGTGGAATCGAATCCTATTGGTCGACTTCTTACCGAACGATCTCCTCGAGTTGTTCTCCCTATTAACACACGAGCGACGAACATACAACGCTCTCCATTTAAGTTCGCTTCACAAAACCTACTACTATAGGCCGCATTAGATGAGAAATACAGACCAACACCATACGTTGCCCCTAATCAATAATAGAGACGCTTTAGAGCAGGTTACAAATCTAGTCGCTTACCATGTGTTCCTGCAAAACTTCGATTAAAACAATCTTGTATAATTGAATCAGCTGCGGAATGAGAGCACCCATGATACAAGCGTCTTTCAGTATTTTCGTTCAATCGCTTGTTGAATTCTCGACTATGTGCTAAGTACTGTACAAACCATCGTACATTTTGGATTCGTTCAATTCGGAGAATCGAAATGTGTCTTCCATTCATTGTTTGATCGAAATCATTGGCAATTGAGTTATACTCTTGAGTATTAGAAAGTACTAGACAACGTAAACTACTGTCAGCAGATTGTGTCCAATTTGGAGGTAATATACGACTGATGGATGATCCCGAATCTGCATAAAGGACATTAAAGAGAAAATGTTGTTATATAGAAAAATTCTGTTTTATACCTTCATTCAAAGACACAACTTGTTTAGAGAATTCGTCATAAACGTTTTGTCGTTCAGGTAGAATAATAAATTTGACCGACAATGGAATATTTCTGATATTCAGCTGATGCTTTATCTCTTTGATTATTGTCTTAGCAACAAGATCAACAGGACATGCATGATTTCCACAACCGATCGCCGGAAATGCCACGGATGTATACTTATAAGAAATAACATTTTGGATTACAGTCCAAACAAAATCGACGAGAGATTGCTGGAGAAGTTTTTCGTCTGAGTCTGGCTGCCACTTAACAAAGAATATTTGTTTACAGGGTAACCGACCGGGCTGAAGTGAAACTATCAATGCACTCGGATTCTTTTCGCACTGATCTGCATATGCCATCTGAACATCTGCACCTGCTGCGCTCATAATGCTTCTTCTTAAGATTCTCGATGAAGAGCTTCCAATAATTACATCGACCTTTTAACAGAAAAATATGTTTAGCATTGATGAAGGTAGACTGTAGGGTGCTTACGTTTTGTCGGGTGATATCCCCCATTTGCACTTCTATCAGTCCCGTTCCAATGCCTAATGCTACAGATCCCGCCTGCGACGTTGATTGAACTAAATTTACTTGTTTCTGAAACTCATTGCGAACATCCGTTCGATCTGATTGTACTACCACAGATACAGACATGGGATACAACGTTAGTTGTTGAGAGATTGCTTCGACCATTGTTTGAGCGATTAGACTGATTGTACACCCATATCCACCGCAGCCGATAGCAGGAAATGCAATACTGCGTACGTTTTCACTGGCTGCTTTGCTCATAGCATCACAGATGAATGTACTAACCGATTGACGAAGTGCATCGGTATCGACAGAAGGTTTCCATGCTAGAAAATAAGCTTTTCTTGCGCAAACTTGGCCAGTAGCTGCTATACTAATAACGGGATCAGTCGAACCCATGTCTAATTCGTTGTTATATGAAAGCTTCATCAAATATCCACCGGCTTCGAGGACGCTTTCGCGTATAGTTCTTGATGATCGGCATACTACAATAACATCAGTCTACAAAGAATGACATGTTGCATACAGCTCGTCCATGCGAAATATAGCCACTCACGTCCTCTGCAATCAAATCACCTTGATGAATAGAAATCGATCCAGTCACAACTTCATCACGAGTCGTTTCCTGCAACAGGGAAATATAGGATATATATAGAACGAATAGCCTATCAGAAAAGGATTTTAAGCTCACTGGTAATACGATTGCGGTAACAGTAGTTTGCTTTACAGCATCCGAATCATGACAGCCATTCGAAACCGTTCGTCGAGATGAGCTCTCATTATTCAGGTGTCCATAAGAAGGCACAATACCGTCCTGATGGTTGAATCGGGCTGTCGGTAAGTGAAAGATTGCTCCTGAATGCAATGTTGGATCATTTACGACGTTGGAAGTTGAATGACTATAATGTGAATAGACAAACAATAAGAATGACAAGAATTTCGATTTTACACTCTGAAACTTACACATTTATTGTATCTGCTTCTAAACGTCTGCGCTTAGAAAGGTTATCGTCAGCTAATAGAAGATCGGTTGGGTAAGCGCAACGTTTCATCGCCAACACAAATGATTCAAACAATATATATCTGAAAGTATTTGAATATTACTGCAGGGTTGCGTAGTTGTGAAGTATATACGTATATGACTAAATATTGGATGTGTACAACTTTATTCGCAAACGAAAGAACAACACATATGGCAAAGAAACTCATCTATTTAAACGGCATATTAAATGGATTAAACCAGGATCTCTCGGAAAATACCTAAGCTCTTATTTCGAACCGATTTCTGCGTGGCATTTTGAAAAACTCCTGACCAAATGAAAGAAATACACTATTCATAGTAGACGTGCGTGTGTATGGATTTCGTTCCATGATGAATGTTCGATGTAGAACACAATAACGATAGTTAACTTCCTCCTAAAGCGAAAGAGCCAGTTGTACGCATTTTGAAAAGTACAGATGAATCAACAAGCGTTATGAACCATACTTCCGGAGTACACCTAAGAGTGTAAAATGCTACTGGTTTTATTGAAAAAAACATCTACGTTGGAATCAGGGAAAAAACGATCCGCCTGTCGTACAGAACAGGATAAAATAAAATAAAAAGAAAAAAGTCAATATATGATAAAAGACACGCGGACAGAAATCTATGGATGTAAAATGACTCATATTGTATGCTATTTCTTCACATGTTTGCATGTTCTCCTCACAACAGCAAGAAGTACACAACACTTTCAAAAGAATCGACATCACAATAGACGCAAATACAAGACAAAGATTTCCTAGCAGATTTGCTAATAATGATGTACCTCACAGATACGAAGGGATAAGAAATGAATTATCAGCTTGGTATTATAAGAACCCAGTTATGTCGCCTAGCAATGTAACCCATGGTTGTGTTTAACAATATTTTTTTTTCGGAGTAAAAAAAAGAAAACAAACATTTGAACTAGAATCACCGTTGTGCTCTTATTTTATAATCATCATATGAAAAACATGAGTCGAAATTACTGTGCGTAATGATGAGAATAGAAGGGAGCAACCGAAACATAAGACATGATTTAAATTGCAGAAAATTCAGCATGTGCATGTGATGAAAAATAGATAGATTATTCATCTTTAACTCTATAACAAGAATGTGACCCTATAACAGAATTTCTCACATTTACCCGTGCTCATCCTGCAAGTTATTCATGTACTAGCACAGTAGAATGATAACTAAATGATAAATTTGATTAAAGAATTTCAATTTAATCCAGATAAAGTTTCTCCACAGATTACCAATACTATCAGAATGAGTTCTGCTAAAATAAGATCTGAGTGAGGGTAAATATGTGTTCCGATAACCAAGCCCGACACAATATCAATATTTATCATCGTTATATCAATACGAAACTGGTATTTCGTTGTTCGAATAATTTGAATTCTGAACAAATGCCTGTTCGTGTTTTATGCAGAATATTTCGGCATAAATTTCATTCAAGATAATTGATGATATTTAATGAAATAATCGAGGAATAGATTCGATATGTAATCAATATTTCTATAGATCTTTAAAAAGTAGCATTTTTTAATCAAATCGATAAGATATTCCTGTTTTATTTAGAGAAATTTCGAATAGAAGCAATTTGTTAATGATTTTCTTATCTCGAAGTAAATATAAAAGTCGGTGAATACTGTTATACTTATTCTATTTGATTGATCACATGCTATAGAGATTACGACAATATTCTTTCGACATTAGTTCTTAAATTTTCAAGGTTAGAATGCGAATGAGTGCAGATATATTAAAGCGTTTCATCCACATCGCACGTAGCTGGAACCTCAATGTAATTTTTATTCGCACAATTTCAAGAAAGAAAAATATGAAATACATATAGTCGAATATTTTTAGACTTGCGTTAAAATCCAGTTCTGTTCGTTCATGCGATCGAAATTAATAATACCAATGCTCGATGTGTCATAAACAGTCATTACTCGCCACCAAGCAGTACGTGGTACTATGCGGAATAGATGAGGTCCTTGTGCAGAAAAAGCCCATCCTTGTTCGATATCATCTGACCAGATAGATGTCTGAACTTCACCAATAGTGGCTGTTGTATTACGAGCAGATAGAACGTGATTCTGTGCATTAAGTGACAAGAAACGATAAGTTCCATCACCAAGCCATGTGATATTCCATTTCTGATGTGCATTTTGACATGGTTCGTTATATAACTGAACATCACTGCTGTTTGCATTCAGGGAAGTACCAAGGCATTGATTGGATTTCGACTGTGGTGAAAGACGATAAATACCATCAACAAGAACACGAGTGAGAGTTTCTTGCATTTGCCAATAAGCAAATTTTGGAAAATACATCCAATCTAAAGGGAGAGCTGCACCTCTTGTGTAGTTACTAAAGGAAGGAATCCAGCTATAGCGATCAGTAAAACCCCAAGTAAGTAAAGCTCGACAATTGGACGAAAAATAAAGAGCATACTCTAAAATCGAACGATAAACAAGACCCTGCGTTTGGAGATCTTGAGGATTGATTGGATAACCGCCATTCGTTGGGACAGATACATCAAGTTCTGTTACCATAAAGTCAAGCTTTCGATCAACAAATTGTTGAGCACTTTGATAATGTACATCACCTGGCGTAACGTTCACTGATACATCGATGTGCCATTGTAAACCGATACCATGAACGTTAATTCCTTGTGATACTAACCAATCGATTAAATTAAGCGTTCTTTTAGTTTTTAAATTAACGTATTCGATACCGTACTCATTGTAATAGAGTTTAACATTGGAATCCGCTTCATGGGCAAATATGAACGCGTATTTTATGAAATCTGGACCTAACTTTCTAAACCAAAAGCAATCACGTAGATTGAATGGATTCGTATTATTATTGTCATCAACAGCTTCATTAATCACATCCCACCAAGGTATTTTGCCACGATACCGACCAACGACTGTGTGAATATAATCACTTAATAATTGTTTCGCTTTAGCAGATGATATGGATGATTCCTGTTCTATCAACCAATTGGGTATCCATTGATCTTTGGCCCAAACTAAATTGTGGCCTCGTAATTGCATTAAATTTTGTTGAATCCATCCGGTAGAATTTGATGTGTTACCAAGAAGCCAATCAGAGCTATTGAAATTGTATGTATTCTCCCCTAACCAGATACTTTGTGACTTCAATTCGTTTTCTCCTACAACTAACACATAGTTATTTTTCACATTATCAACGTATTGGCCATAATCAACGGATTGTCGTAAACTGTTGACTCGGATTGCAGTTCCTAGTGGAATACCGCTCAAAAATGAAGCAGCACGCAGTCCAAGTGGCTGTCGTGCTGTGCAAAGAGTAACATCAGTGAATATAACATACAANACACTTTGGTGTCTGACCACTATTTTGACACGATTTTTTTCTTATGATACTATCACTCTGACTGTTCTCATTCGACAAAATAGTAGCTCTTGTGGATACGACTTAATTCCTTCGTTCTATAGCCATTAATGCAATGTCCCTTGGAAGGGACGTTTCGGCTTTTAAGGGTTAAACAATATATTAAATGGATTAAACCAGGATCTCTTGAAAAATACCTAAGCTCTTATTTCGAAAAGCTCCTGAACAAATGATGCGTGTGTATGGATATGCAAGGAATACTTCGATTCATTCTATGATAAATGTTCGAAGTAGAACACAATAACGATAGTTAACTTTCTCCTAAAGCAAGAGAGCCAGTTGTACTCATTTTGAAAATTACAGATTAATCAACAAGCGTTATGAATTATACTTCTGGAGTAAACCTAAGAGTGTAAAACGCTACTGACACTATTGAAAAAACATCTACGTTGGAAATAGGGAAAAACGAGCCGCCTACCGTACGGAACAGGATAAAAGAAAAGAAAAAGAAAAAAGTCAATATGTGATAAAAGACACATGGACAGAAATCTGTGGGTGTAAAATGACTCATATTGTATGCTATTTCCTCGCATGTTTGTTTTCTTCACGACAGCAAGAAGTATACAACACTTTCAAAAGAACCTACATCGCAATAGACGCAAATACAAAACAAAGATTTCCCAGCAGATTTGTTAATAATTATTTACCTCACAGATACGAAGGAATAAGAAATAAAGTATCAGCTTAGTATTAGAAACCCAGTTATGTCGCCTAGCAATGTAAATTATGATTGCGTTTAACAATCTTGTTTTTCGGAATAAAAAAAAAGTAAAACAGATATTTTAACTAGAATCACCGTCGTGTCCTTATTTTATAATCCTCATATGAAAAACATGAGTCGAAATTATTGTGCGTAATGATGAGAACAGAAGGAACCATAAGACATGATTCACATTGTGGAAAATTCAGCAAGTGCATGTGATGAAAAACATATAGATTATTCATCTTTAACTCTATAGCAAGAATGTAAACCTATAGCAGAATTTCTCACCTTTACTCGTGCTCATCCTGCAAGTTGTTCGTGTACTAGCACAGTAGAATGATAATTAAATGATACATTTGATTAAAAAATTTCAATTTAATCCAGATAAAGTTTCTCCTCAGATTACCGATTCTATCAGAATGAATTGTGCTAAAGTTCGGAACCTAATATAAAATCTGAGTGAGGGTGAATATGTGTTTCGTTAAACAAGCACGATACAATATCGATATCTATCATCATTATATCAATATGAAACTGGTATTTCGTTGTTCGAATAATTTTAACTCTGAACAAATGCTTGTTCGTATTTTATGTAGAGAAATTTCGAATGGGAGTGATTGGTTAATGATTTTCTTATCTCGACGTAAATACAAAAGTCGGCGAGTACTCTTATACTTATTCTATTTGATTGATCACATGCTATAGAGATTACGACAATATTTTTTTCAACATATACTTGATTAAGAGAAGGCGGTACAGTTGATTGTGCGTTGTTAAACCACTACATGTGGAAGTATATGTGTTAGGAGCGATTGCTGAGTATAGATAGTTTATACTAAATGCTTAATAAGTTCGATTTTTTTCAACTCGATTCCAAATTTGATTTTTCGAGTGTGGAAGTAGAAGAAATTCTCACTCTCAAGATTTCATGTTAGTTCTTAAATTTTAAAGATTAGAATGCGAATGAGTGTAAGTATATTAAAGCATTCCGTCCATATCACACATAGCTAAAACCTCAATCTAACTTTTATTCACAAAATTTCAAGAAAGAAAAATATGAAATAGATATCGTCGAATATTTTTAGACTTGCGTTAAAATCCAGTTCTGTTCACTCATGCGATCGAAATTAATAATACCAATGCTCGATGTGTTATAAACAGTCATTACTCGCCACCAAGCAGTACGTGGTACTATGCGAAATAGATGAGGTCCTTGTGCCGAAAACGCCCATCCTTGTTCGATATCATCTGACCAGATTGATGTCTGAACTTCACCAATAGTGGCTGTTGTATTACGAGCAGATAGAACATGATTCTGTGCATTAAGTGACAAGAAACGATAAGTTCCATCACCAAGCCATGTGATGTTCCATTTCTGATGTGCATCTTGACATGGTTCGTTATATAACTGAACATCACTGCTGTTTGCATTCAGAGAAGTACCGAGGCATTGATTGGATTTCGACTGTGGTGAAAGACGATAGATACCATCAACAAGAATACGAGTGAGAATTTCTTGCATTTGCCAATAAGCAAATTTTGGAAGATACATCCAATCTAAAGGTAGAGCAGCACCTCTTGTGTGGTTACTAAAGGAGGGAATCCAACTATAACGATCAGTGAAACCCCAAGTGAGTAGCGCTCGACAATTGGAAGAAAAATAAAGAGCATATTCTAAAATCGACCGATAAACAAGGCCCTGCGTTTGAAGATCTTGAGGATTAATTGGATAACCGCCAATCGTTCGAACAGACACATCAAGTTCTGTTACCATAAAGTCAAGTTTTCGATCAACAAGTTGTTGAGCACTTTGATAATGTACATCACCTGGCGTGACCTTCACTGATACATCGATGTGCCATTGTAAACCAATTCCATGAACATTGATTCCTTGTGATATTAGCCAATCAATTAGATTCAGCATTCTATCAGTCTTTAAACTAACGTATTCGATACCGTACTCATTGTAATAGAGTTTCACATCGGGATCTGCTTCATGCGCAAACGTGAACGCATATTTGATGAAATCTGGACCTAACTTTCTAAACCAAAAGCAATCACGTAGATTGAATGGATTTGTATTATTATTGTCATCGACAGCTTCATTAATCACATCCCACCAAGGTATTTTGCCACGATATCGACCAACGACTGTGTGAATATAATCACTTAATAATTGTTTCGCTTTAGCAGATGATATAGATGATTCCTGTTCTATCAACCAATTGGGTATCCATTGATCGTTGGCCCAAACTAAATTGTGGCCTCGTAATTGCATTAAATTTTGTTGAATCCATCCGGTAGAATTTGATGTGTTACCAAGAAGCCAATCAGAACTATTGAAATTATATATATTCTCGCCTAACCAGATACTTTGTGACTTCAATTCGTTTTCTCCTACAACTAACACATAGTTATTTTTCACATTATCAACGTATTGGCCATAATCAACGGATTGTCGTAAACTGTTGACTCGGATTGCAGTTCCTATTGGAATACCGCTCAAAAATGAAGCAGCACGCAGTCCAAGTGGATGTTGTGCCGTGCAAAGAGTAACATCAGTGAATACAACATACCATACTAACAATATTATTCGAATCTTCATGTTTCTTTTATTAAAGCATGAGTTTCTTTATCATCACCATAGTACTTATAAACATAGAATAGAGCGTTTGAAATGTATATAACGTAGATTAGATAAGGTCGTACTTCTAACAGTTTTATCGCTGTTTGTAATGTTTCTAACAGTTGATTATAGGAGAAGAAATACTAAATTACAATCTAACGTATACAAGAAATTTTCTCAGTGTGAGACACTTGCCTATCTGCCTGTCACTCAGAAAATGATTTAAATTATTATTAGACACCCTGATGAATTTATCATATTCATACTTATAATCGCATCCTCACGAAGATCGAAATCAGCTGGATAAGTTCCAGTTCAATGAATATACTGAGTATATTTGTTAGCTTGTATAAAATAAATGTGAAAAAAAAACAACTGTGAAAAAGACATACGTAGTCGAAGAAGAAATTCACAAAACTACAAAATCGAATTTTAAGAATGAATAGGACGAATGAATTCACTCTTGTTGTCGTTTGGAACTATTATCAAGAACACGAACCCTTGTGGCTTCTACATGATATGCATACCGTCCATTGGTTTAATGTATAAATGAGTGACAGAAAAAGGAAAGGAAAATGATTGGAGTGATTTGTTTAGCAATTACCGAGTGTTTGACAAAGATGACGCTGAATTCTTTCAAGTTCGACTAAAGAATATTAAAATCAAATATGTATTAAATAAAATGAGATCCGCATTTAAGGAGAATGATCAGAAATAGAAGGCATCGATAATGAACGATGACTTTCGTGGATGGATTGATTTGACTAAAACTATAGAAGTTTGTATTTATTTTTTATGAAAGAGTTGCTCTGTTCAGTTATACGTCAAAAGTACATACGATCATCAAAATTACAAGCTCGGAACTTATCGTCTCGTATGAATGATGAATAGGTGTGCCGTTGATCGAAATGTAAGATTACCAGAAGCATTCGTTATGGCATTTTCTTTACTATTTCGAAACTTCAAATTGGACAGATTCTCGATTTTAATGTTTTACTGATCTCAAGAGAGGATATTGATACTAAACTTCATATATTATATATAGACGACATCTCTTATACGTATATTAGAATTGATACAGCGAATACTCTAATAATTTTTCTTTCCTTTTCTGTCAGTCATTTATACATAAAAATGATGAACGGTGTGCATATCGTGTACAATCATCCCCTTCAATCATCGATTGATGTACCAGCCTTATCGCATGTTGTTATATGCTTTTTCGTTTCTTTGTACGTTAATACATGTAGGTTTTACATGGACTACTATAGGAGATCCAAGTGATTATGTCAATCTCGCTAATGATGCAGAAGATAATGCAATCAAAGCTGATTACAATGTACCCTTGACGATGTATCTCAAATCGCCACTCAAAGCAACACATTCATTCACGACCAATGAATCTGCCCTCTCTATTAGCTATGAGACCATTTCAGCGACGGACAATGACACGAATGTTATTTTAGTTGGCAATGGTGCTCAGTTAAACATGTCATTTGTGAATATCTATAAACAAGGTTACTTCTCAGATCTAGCGCAAGCTAGTTTCTTTGGTGTCAATGCAGCGATCAATGTTCAAAATGGATCTAGGTCATACTTTGATCATTTGAACGTAATCACGCATAATGGTGCATCAAATGTTTATTCGTATGGAAACGGTTCGTACGTTTATGTTGAGAATTCCGTTTTATACAGCTCTGGACCAGCAGCTCACGGGCTTTATGCTGGTGGATATGGAACAATCGTTGGAAACTACATTAATCATTATTCTGGTGGCAATCGTTGCTCATCTTTTTCTGGTGATTTACCAGCTAGTTATGTTGCCGTTTTCAATTCAATTGCCCATACAAGCGGTATTGGGAGTGCTATTTTTTACGCTCTA